GGATAGTTTATGGAGTCTTGCTGGACCCTTGTAGAAACTAACCGGAATCAATGTCGGGACAGTTTACAGAGTCTTGTCGGACCCCTGAAGGAGCTAACCGGAATCAATGTCGGGACAGTTTACAGAGTCTTGTCGGACCCTTGAAGGAGCTAACCGGAATCAATGTCGGGACAGTTTACAGAGTCTTGTCGGACCCTTGAAGGAGCTAACCGGAATCAATGTCGGGACAGTTTACAGAGTCTTGTCGGACCCTTGAAGGAGCTAACCGGAATCAATGTCGGGACAGTTTACAGAGTCTTGTCGGACCCTTGAAGGAGCTAACCGGAATCAATGTCGGGACAGTTTACAGAGTCTTGTCGGACCCTTGAAGGAGCTAACCGGAATCAATGTCGGGACAGTTTACAGAGTCTTGTCGGACCCTTGAAGGAGCTAACCGGAATCAATGTCGGGACAGTTTACAGAGTCTTGTCGGACCCTTGAAGGAGCTAACCGGAATCAATGTCGGGACAGTTTACAGAGTCTTGTCGGACCCTTGAAGGAGCTAACCGGAATCAATGTCGGGACAGTTTACAGAGTCTTGTCGGACCCTTGAAGGAGCTAACCGGAATCAATGTCGGGACAGTTTACAGAGTCTTGTCGGACCCTTGAAGGAGCTAACCGGAATCAATGTCGGGACAGTTTACAGAGTCTTGTCGGACCCTTGAAGGAGCTAACCGGAATCAATGTCGGGACAGTTTACAGAGTCTTGTCGGACCCTTGAAGGAGCTAACCGGAATCAATGTTGGGACAGTTTACAGAGTCTTGTCGGACCCCTGAAGGAGCTAACCGGAATCAATGTCGGGACAGTTTACAGAGTCTTGTCGGACCCTTGAAAAAAAGTTGCACCCTCAAAAGGTGTGCCCAAAGTTGTCAAAAACGGTGTGCCATCAAAAGGCGTGTCCATTTTATCAAAAGATGTGTCATGAAAAGGCGTGCCAGTTTGTCGGGCGGCAAGAGGCGCGCGATGCGCGTGGCTGCCTCGGCTATTTAACCATGACAGAGCCTGAGGCCGAGGCAGAAGCAAAAAAAAGGGTCATGTCGGACCGTTGTAGAAGACAGTTTACGGGGTCATGTCGGACCGTTGTAAAAGTGGCACCCTCAAAAGGTGTGTCCAATTTTGTCAAAAGGCGTGCCATCAAAAGGCGTGCCCAAATTATCAAAAGGTGTGCCGGACATGATGGCAAGGCACGTGAGCGCCTTGGCTGGCGCGCCCGTTTTGTCATCTGGCGTCAAGAGGCGCGCGATGCTCGTGTCTGCCTCGGCTATTTAACCAAGACGGAGGCTGAGGCTGAGGCTGAGGCTGAGACAAAAAAACTGCTAAAATCCTCTGAAAAAAACCCTTCCTTGTCTGAGAGAGATACCTTGTAACATTCTGTAGCCCAGAAAATGGCTTCGTCTTCCCGTGGTCTGCTCACTCTCTTTCCCGATCTCAATGAGTCAACAAGAGAGAGAACTGGTGCGGTGGCCAGTGAAACGCAACCAAACACCTCTGTGTTTGCTCCGTTGAACTTTCCGATGCGGTCGGTGGAGCAAAAAATGGCGGTGCAAACTGATATTGAGGCCAATCAGTATACTTTAAAGTCATGTGTGGAGACCATGACGGCGGTCACAAACTTGTCGCACCGGCTGCAGAGCAGGACAAATGAGGTGCAACAGTTAAACTCCCAGCTGGCTCTGCTCCAACGCATGTATAAGGATGCGCGAGCAGAGATAAGTGTGCTAAAGGCAGAAAACAAGGAGCTGAAGCGGAAGGCCACCGTGATGTTCCGTTTTGGAGGTCCGCCATATGCTGCAGTGGAGGAGCAGGGAGTAGTGATCATGCCCAGTGGAGTGGGAAATACGGAGGCAACACCGGCAAGGGCCGTTCAGGACGGAGGCAAGAAGAAGAGACCTACAGCAGAGTAGAGAAGAAAAATCCCACTGTGCCAATTTGTGTTGGTTTTGTTTTGTTTTGTTTTGTTTTTTTTTTTGTTTTGTTTTGTGTGGTGTAAAATGGTGATCGGGGTGAGCCCCGACATGAATAAAATAAGTTCGTCTTCTTCCTCTGTTTTTTTTTTTTGTTTTTTGTTTTTTGTTAATTTATTTATTTATTTATGTTTTTTTGTTTGGGAAAGGAAATAAAAGAAAGAGTGGAAATATCAGAAGGCGTGGGAATCGGTGAGCGAATAAAGGGGATATAAAAAAATAAAAAAAAAATAGACAAAAAAGGTAGTGGATTGAAATAGTAAATAATAAAATAAGAAGAGAAAGTGGACTGTCGGTGTTGGTTTTGTATAATAATAATAAGAATAAGAAGAGAAAGTGGGGTGTGCTTGAGTGGAGGCAGACACTGGCGTGATTGGAAAGACAAAAAAGTAGGGGATTGAAATAGTAAAATAAAAAGAAAGGAAAAGAGACAGTTTAAAGTGAGAAATCAATGTGCATCTGTGAGTGATGGCCAAGTGGGTGGAAATATTAAAAAAAAATTGTGGGAAAGAAAATAATTGATTGAGGAGAACCCATATCAAATCTGGACATGTATGACACAAGAGTGAGCAGAAAAACAGTGGGTGTGAAAGGCGATTTTTTTTTTTTTTTTTTTTTTTTTAAAAAGAAATAAATAAATAATAACGTAAGTGGAGAGTGAGCTGGGTATTCATATGCAGATGAGGTAGTGGAGAAGTATTTGAGTGGAAAGGGGAAGGAAGTGGGAATAAAGAGAGACACACATGGGATAGACAGATAAAGAGAATAAAAAAAAGTAAAAGAAATAGATAAAAAAGTAGATCCATTTGCCTCTATTTTCACCATCTCTGTAGAAGAGTTAACCACGGCTGCTCATGGAGAAGAAGTGAGATGCAAAAGAGCTTTTCGATATGGATGTGCAAGCTAAGGCGTCTCTGGGTTCTCGATCGGAACAGAGGTATGTGACTCCAAATTCGCCTCGACCCAGTTCGCGACCCAGTATGTACTTATCGACGAGTCGGGTACGGTGGTTTAGGGGGATGAGGTGGACGGCAAGCTGGCGGAGATCAAAGTGCAGCTGACCAGGAAACCGGAGGCAACAGGTGACACCACTCATGGTGGCAGAAATCAAATGGTTCAAATCTCCAAAGCTGGGAGTGGTGAGCTTGAGTGTACGGAAGCAAATATCATAGAGAGCCTCTCCAAAACCATACACTCATCGGCGTTCTCAACTTGCTGATGCACAGAGAGCGTGGCAGACTCGGGCTGTCGGTGATGATGGCTCGGTTGTGGAGTTGCAGCGGTGACAGCCCGGTTGTGGAGTTGCAGCGGGGAATAAAAAGAATACCGCTGCTGAAGAGTCTGGTCATCACTGGGATTCTGCTTTGTTTTCCGATCGTGAACGGCAAGAAAAATTCAACAAGCTCATGGGTGTGAAGGGCGACGTGAAAGTGGAGCAAAAACCAGACAATCAAGAAAGCAGCAGCCTCCTCCAAGCAGAGAAGCAGAGGGAACTGCAGCTGGATTTGGAGAAGCAATACACTGCTGGACTGCTTGGAAGTGATATTTTGAGACCATAGAGGGAGAAGAGGCAACAGAGGAAGCTTCAAGGAAGAAAATTGGTGGTGATGGGTTGACTGGGTGAGTCAAGGACAGCGACTCGAAGGAGTTGGGCGTGAAGGTGGTGGACTCGAAGAAATTTCAAGGTATGTGTAGAAAATTCTAGCGGACTAGGTTGAGGTCCGGCGGGCGGCCAAGGCGAGGTTGTCGCCCGCCGGTGAAGCGAAAAATACTAAGTTCTTAACCTTGCTCTGATACCATGTGAGAATTGATGTATTATTGATTGATGTATATTGTATATTACAAATGGTGAGGGGCTCCTTATATAGGAGATGTAGTGGAGTAGGTGGTAGTATGTGGTATAAAAATAAAAGAGGATAGGAGACACTGTATGGTCTTGTCAGACCGTTGGTGAAGATACTGGATGGTCGTGTCATAACAGTGTAGAGGACACTGGATGGTGGTGTCATAACGGTGTAGAGGACACTGGAAAAGCTAACCGGAATCAATGTCAGGACAGTTTATGGGGTCATGTCGGACCATTGTAAAAGGCGCACCCTCAAAAGGTGTGCCCAATCTGTCAAAAGGCGTGCCATCAAAAGGCGTGCCCATTCCATAAAAAGGTGTGCCGGACATGATGGCGAGGCACGTGAGCGCCTTGGCTTGCGCGCCCGTTTTGTCGTCTGTCGACAAGTGGCGCGCGATGCGCGGATCGGCCCTGGCTATTTAAACCAAGGTTGAGGCGGAGGCTGTGCATACCAGTCTGAAACCTCTGAAACCAACCCTTCTTTGAAAAACTCTGCCTCTTCGGAGAGAGAAACTTTGGAACACTTTGTAGCCCAAAAAATGGCTTCGTCTTCCCGCGGTCTGCTCACCCTCTTTCCCGACCTCAACGAGTCAACAAGAGAGATAACTGGTGCGGTGGCACTGGAACCTCAACCAAGCGCCCCGGAGTTTGCTCCGTTGAACTTTCCGATGCGGTCGGGTCGGTGGAGCAAAAAATGGCGAAGCAAACTGATATTGAGGCTAGTCAGTATATTCTGAAGTCATGCGTGGAAACCATGACGGCGGTCACAAATTTGTCGAACCGTCTGCAGAGTAGGACAAATGAGGTGCAACATTTAAACTCCCAGCTGGCGCTGCTCCAACGCATGTATAAGGATGCGCGAGCAGAGATAAGCGTGCTAAGGACAGAAAACAAGGAGCTGAAGCGGAAGGCCACCGTGATGTTCCGTTTTGGAGGTCCGCCATATTCGGCAGTGGAGGAGCAGGGAGTAGTAATCATGCCCAGTGGAGGGGGAAACACGGAGGCAACACCAGCAAGGGCCGTCCAGGACGGAGGCAAGAAGAAGAGACCGGCGGCAGAGTAGAGAAGAAAAATCGTGCCTGTGGAGAGGGTTGTTTTGTTTTTGTTTTTGTTTTTTTTTGTTTTTTTTTGTTTTTTTTTTTTTTTTTTTTTTTTTTGGGAATAATAATAATATATAAAATAAAGTGTTGTGCCACGTCTTGGGCAGATCAAATACTTTGGAAAAAAAGTTGAAAGAAAAGTTGAAAAGATGAGAGGAGAATGGGACAAGCCCATGTGATTATAATAAAAAATAATGAGAATGAGAAGAAATGGGTTGGTATAGTGCAAGTGTGTTGGTAATATATTAAAATAAAATAAAAGAAATCCAATGGGGGTTTCGGAACCTGTGGGCTAGGATAGTGATGTGAATATATTAAAATGGGTAGGAGTGTCCATTTCTGCTTGAAGACTTCGTAAAGACCCATTCGGATGGTGGAATAGAGAGTCTGGCGGAGGATGGTGGCGGAGACGCCGGAGTACAAGGCGGCAACGCCTTCTGTCTGGAAGATCTTCACCCCAACCGAGATGAGACCCGCCTTCGGCGGCGGCGGCGGTTGAGTTGAAAGCAAAAGCAGTGGAAGGAGAGAGGTGTTGGTACAGTGAAACTTTTGAAGCACAAGGGAACTGGAAAAGTTCGGCTCGTTATGCGACAATCCAAAACCCTCAAGATCTGCGCCAACCATCTCGTTCTTCCGACGATGTCGGTCCAGGAATACACCGGGAACGAAAAGTCATGCGTTTGGCATGCGGCTGATTTCGCTGATGGCGAATTGAAAGATGAACTCTTTGCCATTAGGTTTGGGTCTGTTGAGAATTGCAAAACATTCATGGAAATGTTTCAAGAGGTAGCTGAATCACAAAAGAAAGAGGAAAACAAAGATGCATCTGCTGCTGCCAGGCTACTTGAGAAACTGAGTGTTGAAGATGAGAGAGCAGCAGAAGACAAAGCCAGTGAAGAGGTGTCTGTCATGGTCTGAGAGAGCCGAGAGGTAAGAGAGAGGAAGATGAAGTTACAGTCTGGGTATGTGTAGAGGTCCGGCGGGCGGCCAAGGCGAGGCTGCCGCCCGCCGGTGAAGCAGAATGAATAGGTTCTTAACCTAGCTCTGATACCATGTAAGATAAATTGATGTATATTATTGACTGATATTATATGACCAAATCATCTCAATTTATTCTTCTCAACTTATTTTCTATCGGCACTACTACCCATTCTTGAAGATACTCCTTCCTAACTCTGTTTATTTTAGTCTTGCCACATATTTACCTTAGCATCCTTATCTTAACAACACTTATGTTATCTATATGTTGTTTCTTAGTTGCCCAACATTCTGTCTCATATAACATCGCTGATCTAATAGCTATTTTATAGAAATTTCCTTTCAATCTAGTGGGTACTCGTTTATCGCATAGTATCCCAGATACACTTCTTCACTTAAGCCACCTCGTCTTAATTCTACAGACCACATTCGCTCCAATCTCCCTAGCCGTTGTGATAATCGATCTTAAATAACGAAAATGTTCACTCTCAAGTAATTCTTAGTTCTCAATCTTTACTTCTCCTCTACTTCCATTGTTATTGTTACTAAAATTACACTCCATGTACTCTGTGTTAGTTTTGTTTATCCTGAATCCTTAGATTCAATTACTTCTCTCTAAGTCTCCAACTTAGTGTTCACTCCTTATCTAGTCTCATTCTTTAACACTATATCATCTGGAAAACACATAAACCATGGCACATCATCCTAAATATTTCTCATCAACTCATCCATAACTAAAGTAAAAAGATAAGTACTTAATGTTGATCCTTCGTGTAACCCTATAGTAATTGGAAATTCATTAGTCTCTCCAGCAGACGAATACTGGTCACCACTCCTTCATACATATTCCTAATCACATCAATATAACCTTTTGTCATCCCTTTCTTCTCTCACATCCTTCAGATTATATCCCGAGGCACTCTATCATATGCTTTCTGAAGATCGATAAGAACCATATGAATGTCTCTTTTCTTTTCTCTATACTTTTTTATTACTCTCCACAAGAGATAGATCGCTTCCATTGTTGATGCATATACCCAAATTGATTCTCTGACACCTCTATTGTATCTCTCAATCTATGTTCCATCACTCTTTCCCACACTTTCATTGTGTGACACATTAACTTGATTTCTCTATAGTTGTTGCAATTATGGACATATCTTGTATTCTTATATTTTGGCACTAAAATACTCTTTCTCCACTTCTCTAGCATTTTCCTAATCAACAAAATTTTGCTAAATAACTTAGTCAACCAAACAACTCTTTTTTTACCTAAACATTTCTATGCTTAAATAGGTATATCATCGGGTACAAAATGGGAGGGTTGTTGGTAGAAGAGTAAGAAGGAGTATTAGAGTAGGGAGAAGTGGTGGAATAGTAAGGAATGGTGGAAGAAGTGGCGGAAACAGCGGATGAGGTGAGTTGGAATGGTCTGCAACAAAATGCACAGTTTCGACTTGCACTCCGTACATGTAGGATTTGCACCCTATACACATTGGACATGCACCTTACATACATTAGACCTGCACTCTCTTGGTTTTATCAATAATATGGCTGAGTAAAGAATTTGAAAAATCTACAATTCGAACCGGTCCAGTCTAATCCAGTAGGTTTGGATTAATGTTTTGAATTCGTGGTTCGATTTTGATTTGAAAAATTAGGGAACCGGTCTCCGTGGATCGGATTCGAATTTGAGTTCATGGTTCTAGATTAGAATTGAACTAGATCACATATAACTTAAACCATAATTTTACTTTTGTAATTGTTGTTGCCACGATAAAATGTTTGTTTGATCGGAGTTTTATGCTTGCTATATGTTGAACAATATGATTATTTATTAGCTATTATGTTTGTTTAAGTTATGTTTCAAAAAATCATGGGTAGATTAATGTTGAACAATTTAAGATAATTTGAATTTTTTAAAAATGTTATATGATTTTTCTTGTGAACAGATTGTGTGAAACCGTGGTTCCAAACTGAGTCGGACCGTGTTTAAATGGTTTGGTTCAGATTGGCTCCATAATTTAAATGGATTGGTTTGGTTGTAATTTTTATGAAACCATAGACAACAGATTAGTCGTGATAAATTGAACCAATCCGGACTATGTTCATCCTTAATCAACAACAAAGAGAAAGAGCTTAGGGTCGTAATGAGGAAGAGTTGTAGGGGTTTAGGGGGGGTTCCAGTAGCTATGGTTTGAATCGTTTAGGAAGTTAGGTTGGAGGGGTGAGAAGGGGCTAGGGTGGTCACCACTCCCCAATGACTTGCAACCCATCTCCTACCTTTGTTCGCCATTACAAATCTCTCACTCGTCCTTATCCACTTGTCTTTGCCACTTCAAACCAATAGGATGGGTGTCATGACCCGAACCCACCCCTATAGATTAAGGTCATAACCGGCCAGTAATTATGAGATTACCTACAACCTCAAACAGAAATCAATTAAAAATTAATAATATAGGGCTAGATGCGGAAGTAGACTTAAAAATTTTATCCAATGAGTTGTGCTTACATGGCAAATTAAAAACATTTCAAATATACTTGATAATAACTCACACCATATATTAGTAGTTAACATCTTGTGCACCCAGGATCATTCAAACACATAGTTAGCTATACCAAAAGCTTGTATACATAAATGGTCTATCATGACCAATGGAAATAGCAAAAGAAGATACAAAAGATCATAAACAAAGCCTCTTGCGTAAGGCACCTAGGCTAGGTTCACAAAACTTGGGTTCCTTTCTCAAACTCCACTAAGGCTGGGGTTGAACATCCCTTTACTCACCTACATACATATAAATAAGAGTGAGCTAACGCCCAATGAATAATACCAAAGTAAAGGGGTTATATGAATGAGATTCATATCAAGTACATCGAACTCATAAATTTTATATACAAACGGCCTTAGGCCCATTCTGTGCTTTTATTGTAGTCAAATGTCCTCGGGCCCATTTTAAATCCTTAGCAAACATATCAGACAGCCTTAGGCCTATTCTATAACTTGTCAGATTCATCAAACGGCTTTAGGTCCAATTCAAACATTTTAAACGTATCAAATGGCCTCGAGCCCATTATTTCCATATTCATATTTACTCACATTTCATATTCGTGATCATGATCACCTTTTCATTCAAATGGCCTTTGGCCCATTACATTCATATCCAAACGGGCTTTGGCCCATCACGATATTCAAACAGCCTTTGGCCCATCATAATATTCAAACGGCTTTTGGCCCATCATAGTATTTAAACGGCCTTTGGCCCATCATAATATTTAAACGGCCTTTGGCCCATCACCTTTTTGAAACGGCCTTTGGCCCATCATCATATTCAAACGGCCTTTGGCCCATCACGATATTCAAACAGCCTTTGGCCCATCATAATATTCAATGGCCTTGGGCCCAAATCATGTTCTTTACAGAGCCTTATACAAAAAGTAAGCATATAGAATACTTATTTGTAATTCAAATCAACAAGTTCATGAAGTTTATACAGAAGTAGCATTTGGAAAATAACATACTTGAAAATATCTTTACTAAGATATTACTCACAGTGTTCAGAGTGTTGATTTGTCTTCGTGGATGCTCCTACATAATTCATAATCATACACAAATCGGATCACAATGCTATTTAATCCGCTCCTTAACTTGTTTAATTCTCTTAGGCTCCTTTCAAACCTTTTAATTCATTTAGAATGTACAATATATTCCTAAGAGTGTTCAAATCATGAACTTGTGTGGCTTATCTACAACTTCAAATAATACTTAGAAATTCTTTCAAAAACATAGATCATAAGGTTCATGCTCAAAGGATGAAATTCAACGTTCAAACCAAATGAATCTTTCTTCTCTTTCCTAATCATTTACTTATGTTATTTCTTACCTTATTGGTCCTTAATAAGCCATAATTCATGCTTAAGAATATCCACAAAGAGATGGGAATGAAGAAATGCGCTTAAAACATCTTTTGAAAACATGTTGAAAATAAGTTGTTGGCTAGAGCCAGCTTTTCGCGGCTAGAGCCAGCTAAAGGCAAAAACTAAGCTCGCTCGAGCCAGCTTTTGTAGAGTTCAAAATACTGGGAGCTCGTAATGTTGGCTTGAGCCACCACTTCGTCGCTCGAGCCAGTTGTGAAATTCTGAGTTTTTAAAACATAAAGTTTGAGCTCCAAACACAAATTCAAAGCGTTGGGTCATGTTTGGATCATTCAAAAACACAAAATTACTTTAGAAAACATATATACATGATCTCATAAAAACCATTTTCTTTAAAATCTCATAAATTTGGCAAAATTGAGCTTAAAACTCTCATGTATACATGATTTTCAAACTCTTTTCTCAAAACTCAACTCCGAAGTGTATAAGCTTGCATGTTTGAACCAAACTCTTGAAATTACATGGAAATACATATGGATGAGCTCAACTTGAAACCATGAGCTCAAAAGTGTTATGGTTTGCCAAATTTAAGATCAAAACTTCTATACATGCATCAATTCCCTTCCAAGGCTTTCAAATCATGGAATTGAGCTTCATAACTTTATGATTCATGAATGCATGTAAGTGACAACTCCCAATTCAATATGGATTATAAAGTTCATACAAGAAACATGAGAGATCATAACAAATTCATGCATGTATGCATGATTTAGCACCAATTTCCTCATTCCAAGCTCAATTCTTGCATTTTGGTTCATTATCTTCTAGAATACACATAATCATTGACTTAAGCTTATAAATTAAGGTTCAAAAACCTACCTAGAGGCCTCAATAACAATAATTCTTGCAAGATTATGAGTTTTCTTCTTCAATTCCTCAATCCTTGAGCAATTCTCCCATGTTTTTGTTCTTCTCTCTCTCTCTCTCTACAAGGATGATTCTCTCTCTTTCTAGAGTTCCAGCAGATTTTATGTCTAAGTGTGAGCTCAAACAAAGTTGCTTATCATATATATAGGCCTCATTAATCTTATTGGCTAATCAAAGCTTAAGCTTAATCAAATAGGCTTAATTAAATCAAATTAATCTAATTATTTTGATCCAAATAAGTTTTTAATTAAATTTCACCGTAGGCTCTAAAAATTACGCCGATCACAATAAATTAATCAATTTTGATTTCTGGCTCCTCTACAGCCCTCAATTTCAGATTATAGTAGAAATTGTAATAGATATGTCTACAATCAACAGATAGGCATCCAAAAAT